ACCGTACACATCCCATAAACAGCTGGTCCAGAACTACCGTACACATCCCACTAAACACGCTAGGTCCAGACTACCGTACACATCCCATAAAACAAGCTGGTCCAGAATTACCGTACACATCCCATAAAACAGCTGGTCCAGAATTACTGTACAGATCCCATAAAACAGCTGGTCCAGAATTACTGTACAGATCCCATAAAACAGCTGGTCCAGAATTACTGTACAGATCCCATAAAACATATATATATATAGCTGTTCGTGTTTATGTTCATACATAGATACGTCTTATATAGTGCTATGAACAGGTGGTTAGGGCGTTTGACTCACAATCTGTAGGTCACGGGATCGAATCTCCCTCACTGAACATGCTTGCCCTTGCAGCTGTGGAGGAATTATAATGTGACAGTCAATCCCACTATTCGTTAGTAAAAGAGTAGCCCAAGAGTTGGCGGTGGGTGGTGATGACCAGCTGTCTTCCCTCTAGTCTTTTACTGCTAAATTGGGGACGGCTAACGCAGATGGCCCTTTTGTAGCTTTGCGCGAAATTCAAACGAAACCAACAACACCTGATCAACTGCCAAGTATTCATATTTCAATGTTCTTTGAAGAAACGATTATGCTTTTTTGAGAAAACTATGCATTTTTTTTTATATATATTATATTTTGTTACGACATAAACTAATCGCCTACACACCACCTGAAATATAAAATTAAATTCCTATTATTACCTGGACATATCACGCCGAGATCACTCCCTCTACATGACACCTGAAGGCTGCACAAGTTTCAACTCTACGACTACCTTTTACAGTGGGATTAAACGTTACTTTATAACGCCCCTACGGGTGAAAGGGCGAGCATAACATGTTCGGTAACAGATATTCAAATCCTTAACCAAGAACCGGCGGAAGTTCGTGAGATTACTGCTGAATGAATTAATTCTAATCTTTGATATATATATATATCTGATATTTGTTTCATTACATTGTATGCTACTAGTTATACCGGTGTATTGAAACACTGATTACACGGTTAATGTACTTAGCTTGATTTACTAACACGTCATGGTCATATTTTGTTGTATTATTAACTTTTATAATCACTTAACAATCAAAAAAGGTCATAATATTATCATTAAAGATGCGGCGATACAGCGTTACTATTGTATCGATACATCGTTCGATACGATTAATGTATCTTCACGAAATGAGGCGAGCTTTCCGTAAGGATTATAAGTCTTTTGTAGATAAAAAAAAATCACAATTTCTAATAAAGTATTTTTGCTAAACATTAATGATTCGGTAAAGGAAGATGAGTATTGAGTACTACGTGTCGTCTTCACTTCTTTTATCAAAAACATTACATGTGAGGTAACATAACAAATT